CTGGCTAGCATGGAATATAACAGCTTCCATATTTTCTTGCTGGTTTCCAGTGTTAAACGTGTCAATGTTTTACATCTCAGCTATGAAAGCAAGAGACATCGGTCTGATGAATAGCAATGAAGGTGGAAGTACAACGCATAATGGTAGCACCTTGGGAAATCAAATTAGTATTTTTATGAGTCAAAATAAAAAATAGAAAGGATTAGTCAACAGCAGAGCCAGATGGAGGAATTATTCTTGGGTATGCACATTCAGAATTGCGAAATATTTTTCCCTGATTCTCATCTGAGTCAAAATAACCTTTACAGAGGAGGCACATTCTCCAATATTAATCTCCATAAAGTTATATTCAGAAGCTACACAAAGTCAAAGGGCAGCATTGTGTGGGTCATTTACATAGGGATGCTACTACTTCTTCACACAAAGGAACATTATGCCTGCATCTAGTGCAGGGGTGGGGAACCTATGCCCTATCATATATGTCATACTCCAACTCCCATCAAGCCCTTGACCTGGGAGCCAATGGCTAGGGAGAGCAGAAGCTACATTCCAAATCTGGAGGGCCAGAGTTTTCCTGAAATTCTTGTCAATGAATTTTCTTTATTCAAACAATTGTGAGAGACAGGCCCCAATTATTATTTTTTTTACTGATGAGAAAAGGGCATGGGGATTTGTACAAAGGCTTGTGCAGACATTCCTCAGGTTGCGAATGAGTTCCATTCCTGAGAAAACAGAATTCGTCTTTAAATTGAATTTATGTGTAAGTCAGATCTTGTATTGTTGGGCTTCTACATTTGTAGAAATTAGGGGTGCAGGACCCCTGCAAAAATGGAAAAACCACAAATACCTCTACCCTCCTTGCTGCTATCCAAACTCACCAGTGCCTTGTCATTGCAGCAAGGAAATGCTGGAGGGATTTCCCTCTCTGGATGGGTAGGGCAGGAAGGCATGCTTTGGAGGCCTTCCTTTTTCCCCTTTCACTTCCTCTCTATGAAGATGCTTTGGAAGCCCCTCTCTCTCCCACTTTGCTTCCTCTGTATGATGATGTTCTGAAGGGACTCTTCCCCCCCCCCCCCCGCCACGCCTTGCTTCTCCTTTCTCTATGGTGATGATGATTTTCTGCAATAGTTTTTTTTAAATTAGTAGGCTTTATAGCATTTGTTCATAAGTAAGGGGTTGCTTGTAACTTGGACATTTGTAACTTGGGGACTGCCTGAACTCAGAATGCACAGGTACCCAAAATCCTGAGATAAGTAGAATTTTACCAAAATCTGACCCTCAAGTTTTTTAGAGAAACTGGATGAAGTGTATTTTTTAAGCCTTCGTAGCTTGTTTGAGTCTGCTGGCCCAGGGGCCAAATGAAACATTAAATAGATCTTTACAGGTTAAATTAGGGGTGCATGAGAATTTTGTTTCAGGTTGCACATCATGTAAACATTTCCCATTCTGAGGAGGAGCACATGTTCTTAGAAAATGCTCTCAAATACCTGAAATTGTGTTCAGATCTGAAAAACTTATGTTTAAAACAATGCACACTTTATGAAATGTATTAAAAGGCACAATTTAAAGAGTGAAAGTTTTAAGTGTTCATTTCTGAAATGCTAATTTTTGAAAGTGCGCATAGCAATGCACTCTTTCCCCATTCAAATGAATTGGAACAAGAAAAGGTTGCTGTGAGAATGGGAGCAGGCCAAACCGAGCTTGGAAGTTCAGAGTTTTGGTGAGCTTGGGCATTCCTGATTTCCCCATCCCTACATTAAATGTATCTTTGCTTTGGGAAAATGTCAGTACAATGTCAAAATGTGCTGATAATTAGTGGGACTGAAGCAGTGGGGGAGGGAAGTTTAACCCTTTCCTCTCTACTGCTTTAAAGTTGCTATTTGAATTAGAAAGACATTCCGCATTAGGAACAATTAGACTTACTGTATTTTTCGCTCTATAAGATGCACTTCCCCCCCCCTCAAAAGTAAGGGGAAATGTCTGTGCGTCTTATAGAGCGAATGTGTGTGTGCCCGACGCCTGGGACACTGCCGGCCCACCTGCACCATGTGGCACCACCTGGCCGGCACGCGCTCAGCGCGCCCTGCTCCGCCCCCCACTCCGGCACAGGGGAGAGCTGTGACGCTCAGGGGGAGAGGTGCGGAGGAGGAGGAGCCGCGGGCTTTAACCTGCTGGCTGCATGGAGAGACGGACTGCTCACCCCCACCGCCCGGGAAGACCTGCTGCCGCCGCCACGCCACCTGGAAGACCACCGTCAGCACGCTACTGGCCCCACGTGACACCACCTGGCCCGGCGTGCCCTGCTCCGCCCCACTCCTCCGGCGCAGGTGAGAGCTGTTAATCACAGGTCGGTGTGTGTTTTCAAATGGCAACCCATGGGGAAGTGATGGGGAATGTGCCTGCAATTATCAGGAAGTTTCCATGGATCAGTTATCTGTTAGTTGATAGACACATTTTTTTTAGGATCAGTGAATATTTGAACAGCATTACCTTTGTGTATGAAGTTTATTTTTCAAAGGCTACTTAGTCCGCTGTGTGTTTGATTTACCGTACAATATCTCATTTTTTGTCAGAAGTTTTTTTCTATTATTTACTAGTAGGGCAGCGTGGACATTACTGGCTTTTTTAGATTTGTTATTGAATTGTCTGCAGCAGCTCTTGTATAACTGGTGTAGATTGTGGATCCCTTCAATAATTCCACTACTGACTAAGAAAGCGATGTCAGTGATTGTGAGCAACAGAGCTTCATAAATTCTGACTCTAGTGATGATGAGTTCTATGGGTTCAACGAAAACAAGAAGAGTACTTGAACTTTAAAATCTCTCTTTTGTTAATGACAGTGATGATGGTTCTTAATGCCACTGTTGACTGCTGTTCACTTTACAAGGTTGAAATACGGTATTACTGTATTCTGGTATAGTTTATTAAATAGTTTAGTAAACCATTTGATTCAGAATATTTTTTTTCTTGTTTTCCTCCTCTAAAAACTAGGTGCGTCTTATGGTCAGGTGCGTCTTATAGAGCGAAAAATACGTTAAATGGCACCAGGAATGCAGACTGCCCACTCCCTTCTTACCTTTTCCCTTATTATATCATGAGAATTTTCCAATGATACAGTGATATCATTTCCCTGTTCAGCTCTTCCCTTCCCCAGATATCTCTGCATGCCACTGAACCACCAGCACTTATGAACTCACTTACAAACTTTATCCTTCTCTCTTTACACCAAAGGCTGTTATCTGAATTTCAGGTGGTTAAGCTATCTTTTAAAGCTGTATCAGCACATGACTAAAAGAACATACTTTCAAAGAAATGATGCTTTCACTGTCTTCACAGGAAGAATATACATGCTGCAGCAGCCCCTGCGTGACAGCAAAGCCAGGGGGCTCCTATCTACTAGTTCTGTAAGGATGCATATTCCAGATAATTAACTTATTCAAAATAAAATACTACCCAGTTAGTTGGGGGTAACTTTTCAGATAATTTTAAAGATTTTTAATTGATGGATGATTTCTAAGTTTGTTTTATCTTGTTCTCTGAGTAGGGTCAATACAGCTCCTTAGGAAAAAAAGATGAATGCTGTACTCCTTTTGATACTTTTCTTGATAGATTTGAAGAATGGAACCCTTTTGTTTGTTTTGAATGTTATGCTTACAAGAAACATACTTCATGCCATACATTTCCTTACATCAAGAGTAGGTAACCTCTGGCTCTCCAGAAGTTTATGCCTATGACTCCTATCATCCATGAGTTTGCTCACTCACATCACTCCAAGGAAATCCTTGATATATATGGCTCAGCTTCTTAATTAAAAAATAGCATCTCACTTATCTTACACATAAGGTATCTATTTACTTTTAAGTGAACTGACTTGTTCTATGGAGTATTAAAGCATACTGTTCAAGGAAATGTGAGGAATCAAAATGACACTACTAAAATATTACCTATTGTCACTGGACGCAGAGACAGTATTTGAATGTGGGTTTCTCTGCTCCTCACATAACATTGGCAAAAAGTAGCTGAAGAAGGAATCTATACATACTGAAAAAGTACAGTAAACATACAGGGCTCTGTACCACTTCAAAATGCAAGTGGGGGGATCATATGCTTTTAACTTCCCACCAAGTGACACGCTGCACAGAGGAGAACAGAACCTTTCTCCTTGACATACTAGCTTTCCATGACCAGATAGCCTTTGATGCTGCAGAGCATTCAGTCATGAAAGACCATGCTCCTTCCGGGACCAGTGCAATTCTGGGAGGATAATCCTACTTTTTCATTAAATTGATTGATTAACTGTAAGATTTTGGCAACTCTTGAACGACAGGGTCAGAGAGCATCCATAAAAAAGGCCCTCGACATATTACAACTTCCCTTATTTGATGAGCGGAAGCAACACAAATAATGCTGGTTGTGTTGGTATAAGAGAGGAATAGGGACAACCTCTGGTATGGGCAGTCCATTCCAGTTCTGTTCCAGCAACTCTTATTTAAAAACAGCTCTTGTCTGACAAAGTCAAGATATCCGCATTAGCTTCACTGATTTGCTCAAAACACACAGTGTCATTTTGTTTACGTGATTCTTTCGCATCCTCTCCAGCCCTCCTCAAAGAGGCTGCTGCCCATAAAACAACACATTCTTCGGCTTTGGAACCTTCCCTGTTTTGCTGACTGTCAGGAGTTTCTGAAAGACTGAGAGCTCTTGGCTTGTCATTTGCACAGGCCCACTTTTCCTGGTAACTACTTAGATCAGCAACTTCAGAAACCAATTAAAGCAAAGCATCCTGGGCCAGGCATATTCTACACAATAAAATGATCATTTCTGGGCTGCAGCATTGAATTAAAATTGTTTATTGGGATCTACAGAGCTCTATTTCAGTATAAAAAGCATTTCAGAGTCACCAGTGAGATAAAGAAATGCAGAGATTATTCCCTGCCCCCCTTCCTTCACAGTCTTAATTCGAGTCCCATGATACTAATACGAAAAAGTACTTTGCTTACCCCACAGCCCATTCCACTGCTTGGTTCACACACTATCCTTCTCACTCCTGGCTCAGGAAGCAGGCCTGCTCCGCATCCTGGGGTGGGGCACAGGACTCCCCCCCTCTGCAAAACATACTCTTCTGCTCCATAGCGCTGGTAACGGTTGTACTGCAAGGAAAAAAGGAAAAAAAAACTGTGCAGTTTAATAAGCCCTGGAACATGAAAAAATGTCTTTCACTAATTGAACCAGTTAATCTGGGGTATGAAAAATGCCTAGTTTTGTAAGATTATTAAGGTAGCTTTTGAGCGAAGCATAGGAAGGACTGGGAGTTACAGGATTCTCTTTTCTGCTAGCTCTGGCAAGCAGTCATCAAGTTTTGCTGCAAAGTGAGGAGAAAGAAGGTAGGATTATAGCTGTTCATTGGAAAAATGCAGGAAATTTGCAGGGCAACAGACCTCAGATATGATGTGCTTTGCAGTTTTCATCTGATTTGTCAGGATACCAGATGTTTTGAGATACACCAAACAAAATAAGATATACAGGGCTTTTTTTGTCATAGAATGCACTGGAACAGCGTTCCGGCATGTTTTTTTCCAATGGATTTTACGAAGTGATTTTGAATCGCCTGTTGGCGTGGCAGGTCAGCCGCAAACATCATTAACATAGTGCTTGCGGGCTGCTTTTCTGTCTGTACTGATAGTGAGATAGTGAGGGCACTGCTCGGCTTCGGATTGGTGTGTGTGGTCGCATGCTGAGTCTTACTGCTGGTGGCGACGTGAGTTCCGGCACCTTTTTTTTTTTTTTTTTTACAAAAAAAGCACTGAAGATACATATACATTTGTATCTTAATTATTCAATATATCACTCACCACCAGTAAACAGGAACATCTCACAAGAGATAACCGTGTTACAAACTGCACTGTTTGCACTTGTGGATGGGAGCCTACCACCAAGCAGCCTTGCCGTGAAGACTAGGTGAAGGGGTGGTCACTGCAGGTGCCATCAGACTCAGCAGGCCTATGTACTCCAGTTGTGGGGGAACATGGCTGTGCTTGCATGTGGGTTCCTAGGGACAGCTGCTGTGTGAACATTGGAACATTAGCCTGGAACTTTAGTCTGATACTCTTCCTGCATTCACCATCCATTCAGTTGACTATCTGATCATCCCCTCACCCCAAAACCTCCCTACTGCATCTCCAGCCATCTCCAGTGTACAAAACAAACAAACAAACAAACAAACAAACCCACACACCATCTTCCACCACCACCTTGCAGGTCCTACACCAACCTCACAGGAAGGTCCTTGCACCCTCTATTGGTTTTGTGTGCACCTGCCTATCTCCTGAGTTTTGTTCCCAATTCCATATTGGTTCAATACTCTCCACTCTGATTGGCTGAAAGTAATAATCACTGTATCTGGATGGAACATTGTGTTGGCAATCACCATAGTAACTGTGTGCATGAAGAAAAGGGTGGGGAGAAGAGGGGGAAGCAAACTCAGCATTGCCCGCTGAGTTGGTTTTCTGGCTACCATTGTGCAAGAAACAATTTGTGGCTGGTGGCCTGTATGGGCAACAGATTTTCTTTAAAAAGAGGCATTTGTGTGCAGTGTGAGATGTCTAGAGCATATGTTTGTAACATTTTCCTTGTGTGCTTGTTTTCCAGCTAATAAGAGAAATAGGCTGGGAAGACCATGATATCTTGCCACTGTGATCCTGAGCACACTTGGCAGGGAGTATGGCCGTATTAACATAGGGGCATCTTCTGACTATGCATGCATGGGTTGGGTTGTAGGATGTGGTCCACAGCACTGGGCTGTGTGGCCAGAAGTTGCTGCAATTGTTGATCTTTTGCCAGAAAACGGGCTATATGCTGGCAAAATATTCATATGTGCACATCCTGTGAATTCACAAGGAATTCTTTTCGAATGGACATGCACAGGATTACTTATATGTCTGTCAACTTTTTACTGATCTCCTCCACAAGCCGTGATCAGCAGCAGCACACATGAATCAACAGTGGTAGTGTGGGGAGGCTGCATGTCCATACAGCTCTGCCCCGCTCCCAGTAGGTGTGCCCTCTGATAGCCCTTCCTTTGCCATCTATGTTAGGTGCATGGGAGAAATGTAAGTGCCAATAGATGTGCCTACAGATCCTTCACATGTGGAGTGTCAGTATACATGTAGAACATCTTCCCACACAGTCCAACACAGAGGCAAAAGAGCACATGACCCCAAGGGCCCGGGCTATCCCATCTCGCTTGTGTCATGGCTCCTGTGCAGTCTTCAGCATGCATAGCAGCAGATGTCTGAAATCTCTCCCGCTTATATTTTAACTCTTTCTAACCATAGAATAAAGAGAAAATTCAGCTACCATAAGGCTACCCCAAGTTTATAATGTCTCCATAAAGCAATCAGTTGCTATTTTGCAACCAATATTAAGCACAAAACTAAGACAACTGGCCTAGTATCTGGTTCTAGACTGCATCTATTTTTAAACAATGCTTGAGCTTTCTTTACAGGAAGGGAGTTAAGTGCCCTGATTTACTGGCCTTGCTTGGAGAATGAGCCTTATAGAGCCTTACTCTCACATGTTCCTTTTACCAGTGCTGCTAGGAGTTCATAAGATTAAGTTTAGTCTTAAGACTGGGCACAATTTGCCATGCTGTTTAATTGAACTTTTCTTTTTTTAACAATGGTTAATTGAAACAAGCCAAACTCAGACCACAGTTTATAAAGCTGGCTTGTTAGTTAAGTTTAACCAATAACTGGGGTTCAGACAACACACAAAACTCTGATTAATCCATGGTGGACGAAGAAGCTTCCAGCCTTCTCATGCCTGCACTAGAGGAAGAGAATAGAAGTGAAGGCTTCAAAACCTGAAGCTTGTGCAGACTTGGTCTCGTAATAGTTTAGTGTACTATCCAAGTGGTGGCCATTACAGAATGGCTAATAATCACTACTACCCCAGCTCTGTATTGATTCCCGTTCTTTGTCAGAGCAGAGAGAATGAACTTCAAAGTGGGGGTGGGGAATAGATTTTCTTACACTATCTTAAACTTTTCTAAGAGCTTGTTGAGGAACACATGCCAGCTACATTACAGGAGAGGGCTTGCCAGAATCCCCATTATCAATTCTTAGTTGATAAAAGAAAATGTTTCTCAGTTTTCACTGAAGTATAAAAGACTCTGGTGTTTTCTTCTGTTCTTTAATTTCATGTACAAATATTTTTTAATCAATTCTGTCACTGTAAGTTATAAGCAAGAAAACTGATTTACTGGATTCAATTTGGAGGAAAAGTAATATTTTGTCAGGGAATTTGACATTTTCTACAGGCTCAGAACAGAAATCATGCCAGATCATTACACTATTATAGCACTGTCAAATATTATTTTTGCACTATAAAAACTAAAGAAATAGATGAATCTAAAGAGAGAAGATCCTTCTATATACAGTCACACATTTCACTGTTCAGTCACTAAGCTGTCTCCTAGCTCTGGCATCAAAGAATATTTTTTCTCATTTAATTCTTTCTCTCTCTCTCTCTCTCTCTCTCTCTCTCTCTCTCTCTCTCTCTCTCTCTCTCTCTCTCTCTCTCTCTCTCTCTCGCTTTTAGGGTAAAAATTATACAGTCCAGTCAGTATGGGCCTTTCACTATAACAAAAAGCTGTTTTGTTGTGAAGTATGCTATTTTCATGGGTTAGAGGATTTATGCTTTCAATCATCCTTCCATGGCTTAAAGAGACATGAAAGAAAAGATTTTAAAAGTGATTCTATGTAATAGGTCTGTGCTCCTCAAACCACTCAACTCCTCCAAGTTCCTGATATTACTCTGAGAAAAGTGGTTCCAGTAACAATGTAATTGTGATGTAAATGCATCTATCCTGATCCAGTGCATTTGATATGTGTGCATGTGTGCACGCATGCATCTGTGTGTTTTAAGAATGTCATTTGTTTGGAGTCTCACATGTGCATCAAATTCTTCCGGGAATTGCAGTCATCATGGTTTACCTACATGAGACACAAGAAGCTGCCTTGTGCCAAGTTGGACCATGGGCCCATCTAGCTTAGTACTGTCCACACTGACTGGCAGAAGCTCTCCAAAGTTTCTCAGTCTATCGGAACTGAACCCAGAATTTGTTGCATGTAAAACATGTGCTGTCCCACTGAGATACAGCCCTTCCTCTACATTCCTCTGTGTTGCATTCATATGATATTCCATTCATGGAAAACAGAGGGGTAAAATCATTCTTTTATACAAGATAATTACTTTTATGGCAACTTATGTTTGTTCTATGTATTAAAATTAGAAGGAAAAACAGCACTGTGCAGCTGGAAGTTAATAATTAAACAAAATATAGGGTAGGGTTGCACTACTATAAGTATTAATATACGAGTACTCTCAATCTAAGTCTAAAATTTCCTACATTTCTGCTTATCAATATCTCTATTATAGGCCTAAAGTCGAAGAAGCAGGGGCATATTGGATTACTACTTCAAAACAATATATGAGTTTCAACTCTACCTCCTATTTGTCTTTTTGGCCCCCACTGCTTGCCTTAATATTCCCAGGTCACTGTTGTCATGAAAATAAAGCAAAACTGGCAATATTTAAGCTAAAGTCTTTGCAATTATTTATTTTTGCCTGCATGACCATCTCCCTCATCCACTAATCCAGGGACAGGCAACCTTTTTGGACAAAAGGCCTATCTGGCAGTTTGAGAAAGCATCCAAGGCATTGCCACAGAGTGGCTGCCATAGGAATTGTGGAAAACGGAAAGTAATTTGCCCCAAAGTCTGAGTACATGGCAGTGGTGGGGCCTGGCCCCAACACACTAAACAACACATTAAACAACAGTGCCGCAAAATCCTTTCACAGCAAACCCAACTGCTAGTAAGAAAAAGAAATACAAGTGGGAGGCACAAGACATCTTGGTGGATGCCAGGAAAGATATCCAAGTGTGTATTAGTGCCCTTGCCGACCTTGCTCTAGTCAAGAGGATGCTTTTCCTCTTGATCATAAACATTATGACCTGTCCTCAGAGTGATTAGCTTCTCCTTTTACTCAATTCCTTGTCTTCCTTTCACTTTTCCTTAAATCACCTATTCTTCCTTTAGCTTCCTCTTTCTCAATCGACTCTATGCCATATTCATCCTTCTTGCCTCTGGGCTTCTCAATTTACCCACATCACAGAAAATTTTTTGAGTATTCAGCCGGCCCTCAGGAGACATTTCATTCCCAGCCAAATTGATGACTTCCTTTTCTCTCACAGAAGCAGGATTGATACTTAGTTTTCCGACCGAATAAACATCCCATACCACCACATTAGTTCAACTTGTCTGTATAAGAAGAGGCTGTGCATAGTAGGAGACAGATGACTCCTTTTTGTATCCACAGAACTTCACTAGCATGTAGCTGTTGCTTTGAAGCACCAGGCCACCAAATGAAATTATTCTCTAAATATACCACATCATCTTTATCCATGATGGGCAACTTGTGGTCCTCCAGGCTTTTGGCCTACAACTCCCATTATCTCTTACCATTGGCTATGATGGATAGGGCTGATGTTTTTGCGGGCCAAAAACAGCGGGAGGACCAAAGATTGCCCACCCTGACTGGGTGGCCTGGAATATTTGACCAGGTGGGCAAATATTCCAGGTTTGCAGAACTTCTTCACATTTGCAAAGAAGGGAAGAGCAGAAGTAAACTCTCTCGCTGTCAGTGGTCTTTCTGCTGGCAGCAGTGGCCAAAGTGGGGCGTATAGTTGAACTATGGAACTTGCTGCCACAGGAAATGGTGATGGCTGCCAATCTAGATGGCTTTAAAAGAGATTGGACAGATTCATAAGGAAGGAGGCTATCAGTGGCTACTAACCTTGCTGGCTATGTGCTACCTCCTTGACCAGAGGGCATGCCCGCACACACTAGTTGCTGAGGAGCGTGGTTAGGAGGCGATCCTGCACCCACCCTGCTTGAAGGATCATGTTGGCAGCTGCAGTGCTGGACTAGATGGACCTTTGGTCAGATCCAGCGCGGATGTTCTTATGTTCTTATTCTCAGAAGCAGGAGATGAAAGGTCATGCTGGAAGGTCTGCCTCGGGTGCTTTGGAGTCAAAGCCCCCTTTGCCCCTTGGTAGGCTCCTAGGTCTCAGTTATCTACACCAGCCTGAAACTCCTTTTAAAAGAAGAACCAGTCGACAAAGTGGGGGAAAGCTTCACCTGATACCTACTACTCTGGCCTCTCTGAGACTGAGAAACGGCATAACTCCCACCATATAACATCCTATCCCTTAGAATTGCTCTGTAATCAGGTGGAGTGGGCTCTTATGCACCTGCACACAGAAGTGGAAGAAACGATGGCTATAAAAAGATCGTTTCAAGAGACTTTAAAAAGATGATTTTACTGGAAAGATTTAGGAGAAAAATTTCTGTAACATTTTAATTTATCTGACTTGCTAAGCATGTTTAAATTAATTCTGCACAAAGCTTTGAGAATATGTTCTGCCTTTATTGTTCACAGAAAGGAGTTCCAAAGTCATAAGTGTACTCAAAGAAACCAGATCAAGGAGGGAAAAAGAATGAAAAAATAGAAGACGCATTTAGATAACTGTAATACCACATCTTATAAAGAAATGCATATTTCAAGGAGAGGGGAAATACTTTTGAGGCTTTCATCTAAGCACATGGTATCACTGACCCAAATTATTTCAAGATGTTTTGAAGTTGGGCCCCAGTTACAGTGGAATACTAGTGACTGCAAATTTCTCTTGTAGCCTCGTCCTCCACCTTAGCATCTAGGGCACAAGAAGAAAGGCCTTTAAATTATGTTTTACTTTTTATGACAGGAAAGACATTTTTCTGTCTTGCCTTGGATTTCACTCCTCAGCTGGTGTTTTGACTTTGCATTCCGGCATGGACTTTGAACACTTCTTTGGACACACGGAGTACTGCTTTTTCTCATTTGACTCACAGACCAGGAAGGGATTAAATGTGCAGTTCCATACAAGTTTAGACAGAAAAAAGGCCTACAACTCTCAGAGATTAAATCTGAGACCACCTCCATGCAACACACATGAACCTGTGACTGTGCCCTGTGTCCACCCATTTCAACCATCAATTAAAATGGTCATCTTTCTATATGCAGGCCTGAATCCCTACGCTTGAGGACAAGTGCCTGGCCATGCCAATGGACTGGAGAAGAGCTAAAAAACTGAAGCTCAGTCTGGAAAAGACAGAGGCACTGGCAATGAATGAGTCTTCAAATCAAATGAGATGGACTTTACATGCACTGGATAGGGTTACATTCCCCTGAATGAACCAGTGAATAGCCTGGGGTTGCTCCTGGATCTGTTGCTGGATCTAAGTGGTATGGAGAACCCTTCTGGCAGTATCCCAGCTGCAACCCACCTGGAGATAGATAGTCTAGCCACAGTCATCCATGCCCTGATAGCTTCCCATTTGTATTACCATAATGGGTTATACCTGGGGCTACCTTTGAAGATAGTCCAGAAATTTCTAGAGGAAAAGGGTACAAAGGTTTAACTAAGACCAGGCATTCGGCCAGTTCTCTCTCCACTGAACTACCTTCCAGTATTAATTTTCGGGCCCAATTCAAGGTGCTGGTTTTGACTTATAAAGTTCTACGCAGCTGGGAACAACAGCACATGACAGAAGACTGCTTCCATATGTACCCAACCATGCTTTGAATTCAGCCACAGAAGCATATCTTCTAATGGCCCCTCAATCTGATGCTCAGAAGGTGGCAAGAAGAATGAGAGTCTTTTTGAGGATGGCACCCCAGTTCTGGAATGCACTCCCAAGGGAAACTCACCTGCTGTTACATTGCTATCTTATCATCAGGCTAAGACATTTTAAAAGTACTTTAGTATTTTTAGTCTTGACCATATATGATTTTTATCCCCTGCAGTGTAGCTTGCATCTGTATGCTGTCTTAATATATCTAGTGGTTCCATACATGATATTGTTTTTATGGCATTTTATTATACCATTTTATGCTTTAAATTGCATGGTACAGAACCTATATAAATATATGAAGCATTTAACAAATTAGCTTCAGTAAATAATCTTGGGAAGACTGGCCACCATATCCCAGCTTCTTCTAAATGTGGATTGTTTCTATAAAGTCATTTCAGTGCTTTCAAAAAGTGCAAGATAACCCATGCTAGTTCTCTTTTTAAAGAAAGAAAAGGAATGTAAGTGTGTGTAACGGGATGTACATACCAATACATTAGCCTTTTTTGCGACATGACCTGAAAATCCCTGAATCCAGAAAAGAGACAAGAAGAAAAGGTCGAGGACTTGCCCAGATGTTTAAAATGTGGGCAAAAATAAGTATATCACGCCAAGCATTAAATCTCGCTCTTCAGTGAAGACAGACTTCCGCCTCTGTTTGCCTGTCTGCCATTTTACACTGTCTGTTTACTGCAAGCATCCTGAGTTGAAAAGCTCTGGCAGATAGCAGATGTACCAATTAATAATCTGTCAAAGCTGATGGATAGAATTTTTAAAAAGCCTCGTACAAACACACACATATATCACATGAGCATCCCCCTCCCACTTCCATTTTCAGGGCACTGGGAGGGTCGTGAGACACACAGTGCCTCCCTGGAGAGAGAAGAAGCTGTCTCATTAGCGTCTATCTTTCATGACACCGTGACGCTACCTTTCAGATGTTAACTCACCTGCTCTTCGCCCAGAATTCTGAAGTGATGCTGCTCTTTAATCAAGGAGTCTGGACAGCCGGCTGCAGTAAAGAAACACAGAGAAATACAGCTTAGCACTTATTTTCACTGGCTCCAGGGGCATGATATATTGCAAGCAGACACAGAGAAGTAGCATCAGAGATGGATACCCAGCTAAGTAGCATTGTAAAATGTTACTGAAACTCCAGTAGATGGACTGTATTAGCCCACACTTCTGCCATACCATATTTCAGAAGCTACTAGGAATGCTCTGAAAGATGGCATTCTTCATCTTTATGTCCTGCCCCTTCCTCCACAAGAAGATGGAAAAGGGGGAGATTAGTGGGGAAGACTTGGGCATTCCTTTTCTCCAAAAGGAGGGCTTTTTGATGCTTGGGTATCTCTCTCTCTCTCTCTGTGTTGTGGATGTATGTATGTATGTACACCTTTTTAAAAAGTCCATACCTGCTAGGAAAAGCAAGCATTGCCTCTGATAAGTAGCAAGCTGTAGGATTCGAATGTAAGAGAATAGGATTCGAATGTAAGAGAACAGGATTCGAATGTAAGAGAATGCCATTGGCATCCCGCTTGTTTGACCCTTTGGGGTTGTGGTGGAAAGTTCAAGGCATTAGATGCACACGCTATCCCTTTGCCAGCATGCCCTGACAAGACACCAATGGACCTTTGTGTCTTGCATGAGGCACCCAGATGCTGTACAGCCAATCAATGTTAGCAATGCTCTGACCTGATTTAAAGTACCCACAATGTCATGGATAGTGTGCACACAAATGAATGTGGCTCTGGCAATGTGAGGAAGCCCATCAGACAGCTCATCTTAAATACTCTGGCCACCTAATGAGAAGGAAAGACTCACTGGAAAAGAGAACCCTAATGCTGGGAACAATAGATGGCAAAAGAAGAAGGGGACGGCAGAGGATGAGGTGGCTAGATGGAGTCACTGCAGCAGTTGGTGTGAGCTTAAGTGGACCCTGGGGGATGGTGGAGGACAGGAAGGCCTGGAGGGATGCTGTTCATGGGGTTGTGATGGGTCGGACATGACTCCACAACTAACAACAACAACAATTATTGTTTTAATTTCTATACTGCTCAATAGCCAAAGTTCTCTGGAGGGTTTACAACAATGCATAAAAATGCAACACAAAATGCAAACAACATTAAAAACATCATAGAAAGATTAGCATGCAAACATTTAAAACCAAATTCAAAATACATACTAAAAAGTTACAACAGGTTATACAAATTAAATCAAGTGACCTGCTTAAAACAGCTAACAAAGCCCCAGTAAGCTAATTAGATGTTATGAAAGGGAGCCCCTATTTTTTAATCAGTCTGGTTCATTTCTTCCAAATGGCTTTCTTGGAATTTGGGGAATAGTTAACCCTCAGATATACATTTTGAAAGAAGTGTTATACAAGTAACCTGAGCAAAAAGTTAAAAGAAAAACATAAAAGAAGCATGCCTTTGACTGAAATATCTTCAGACTGATGCAATCTTTTGTATCTCAAAGGTTAAATCAAATCATTTGGGTTCACAGTCAATGAATGCCAAAGTAATAATGGGGAAAAATTGCATTTCTGGCATTTGCCATATCCTTTTTGTACACCTCAACTGTTCTTATGTGTAAAATGCTTTAAGGGTTAATTATTAGATCTCTCCCATAAATTATAACATCTTACAAACAGCATCTCTTTCATATTTTGCTAGAAAACTATAACTCTGTCAAATATGAAAAATAGCCTCCCCTCCCCCCCCCACACACAGAATACACATAGAAATTCAGCAATGAAAGAGGATGTGATAAAAATGCAGTGAATATATCTCTTCAAACAGTATCCAACATATCAGGATGGAAAACAACAGTGAAAGACTTTATTGCTTCTGTGATGCCAATACACTGGATTTTACCTGAAATTCACTTAGTGCAATGACCATGCAACAGTTTGGTCACAACCAAGGATGGATGAAAACAATTCTTATACTAATGTTGCTTTCTCATACAGTGACTGCTATCTGTGGTGGCTTGGCCCATTTTTATTTATTATTATTACATTTCTATTCCATCTGTCTTTCCTCTTGCAAGAAACCCATGGTCCACCTCCTCTCCATTTTATCATCATATCAGCGCCGTGATAAGGCTGCAAGTTGGTGATTGACCCAAAGTCATCCAGTGAACATCAGGACTGAGTAGGGACTAGAACCCAGATCTTCCAAGTCACCCTCAAACTACTAAAGTACACTGGCCCATCACTGACAATTCTCAAGGGGCTATGAAGTCTCTGGACTTCATGAATGCTCAGGGAAACTCTATTGAACTGGTTCCAGAATCCAACAAGGACACATTTCCAGATGTTCCACAGGTCTGGCTGACAATCTACTCCTCTACACCTGCTACAGTGCCCAGGTCCAATGCTCAAGACTACAGGTCCATGCACTTTCTAGAATGAAGAAATGTCTGTTGCCTGCTCTTTCACTTTCTTCAGGTGTTCAGTTTAAATACTTGCAAACTACTTCTCAGCAATGCCAGGCGCCCCAGCCAATGCATGGTTGGTACACTCCGAAGGATCTCCAATATTAGGGAGGAGACCCTTGTCAATCAAGGCTTTTTTCCCTGTGGAGGAAATTGTGCGTCAAAGTGCCCCCCTTCTGATTCAGCCGACCATGTATGGCTGGTGTGGACAATGTTGTGGGGGGGGGGCTTGACCAGTGTGTCCCCATTTGCCCTTCATATAGAGTAATGAGCACCTGATCTCTTCAGTACATAATGCACAGATGAGACTAACAGGTGATGGGCACCCATTTGGATGAATTTGAAAGGGGATTGGACTAATTGATGGAGGAAGTCTATCAATTGCTACTAGTCCTGATAATGATATGATCCCTCCAGTAAAAGAGGCAGTATGCCCATGTACACCAATAGCTTAGGAACTCGAGTAGGAGGGCCCTGTTGCATTTATATCCTGCTGAAAGGTTTTCTGCGGGTATCTGGTTCACCACTGTATGAACAGAATGGGGAAGAAGATGGACCATCAGTTTCATTCAGCATGTTCTTCTTACGCTTTAACAATACAAAATAAGAAATGCATTTAGATATATATTTACAGACTCTGCGGAAGATAAAAACAAAAATCATGATTGTTTAGTAGTAGATTTTTCCTGACTAGTTGGAAGTCCCTGGAGAATTAGTTAAATTGCAAGATTTTGGATGCAGAAGTTCCTTGAACTTCTAAGATAAAGAAACTAAAACCGAAACAAATGGAAGATTGGCTATCTTCTTAAAGTTAAAAGATTTGTTTCACAATTTACACAAATATAGAAATGAAGCAAGTTTTTGATCTTAGGGTATATCATATCCTCACTTCCCCAGTCTGATGTGCTCCAGATGCGTGGGCTGGAAGTGATGGGGCTGTGATCCAACACATCAGTACCAAGTTGGAGTAGGCTGAGAAATAATTATTTGCAATGCCAACAGCCCCCCAAATATTCCATTGACCTCACAATGCCCTAATACTTTCTGATTAATTCCTTCACTCTCTTTCAGATCTCTAAAATGCTGAAACTAATTAGAATGCTGATGTAAGTGTAAGACCTTTATCCTTCTTGAGTCCAATCCAGTGCTGAAGCATTGTATCTCCATGACACTGTAATCACTCTTGAGGTGTCAGAGAAGCTGATGCCAAAGGATTTAGCAGCTTCATTGTACTAGAGTTAATTAAATGTTTTGAGGTTTGCAACAACCTTTTCCATTCATAGTGTTTGTCCTCATTTGAAAGACAAGAAATTGGGAAGAAGTGTTAAAATCAGTTCATAAGTGGATGCTGGGAATGATGGTGTTAATGGGTAGCAGCAAGTAAAAGACCAAAATGAACCAGGCAAAGGAACAAGGAGAATCCCAAAGGATGGAGAAGGTTTTTTCCTGAGAACTTCATTTTTATATTTTTAAACAGGAGGCAGGTTTTGAGGATGTGAGAAAAGATAGACGGACCAATGATATGGGGTGCTCCCACTGACATGGTCTTGGGGTGAAGTGGGGGGCTAGAACTGTTCAAATGCTTCTCTAGTTAACATCAGAGGCTTTGGCAGAGTCCCAGCCTACTCTGACCTTCTACGAAGCTTTCGGGAAGGGTCAAACTAGTTGATACCTTAGCATGCTCACATTTTTCTATCTTCTTTTAAAAATAGCCACTGTGTGTGCCCCAGTTGGGGTCTGGATTGTGACATGCGGGAAGAGGTTTCAACCTTTCCCCCCATTCCCATGGGTGCAATTAGCAGATCCATTCCAGGGCAAAGAGCAAGTGGAGAGTATTTTTCATTGGAAAAATAGCACTGCTTGGGAGAAGCTTTAACCCTCCTCCCCTGCACCATTGTCCTTCTTGACCAATCCCTCTCCAGAGCTTCTTTTTTTAAAGATACAGAAATAAGACTGCATATTGAATGCATCACCTGCTTTGCCAAGAGGAAGCAAATATATTTGAGGTGCAGAATAAGACTAACCTGTTATGTGTTTACATGGAAAAAGAGCCAGTTGGTTAAAGAGCCACCTGGAACCAATGCATAGCTGGGCCTTTCCTCACTTTAATCAATGAAGTCAAATTAAGCATTTGGGTGTACACTTTTCAAAAATCTGCACCCAAATGCCACGTCAAAGCAATGAGCAAATGAACAAGCCACCTAACACACATTGAACCAAAGCCAACAACAGCAACAACAGGGCAACATACACATAGAGCACAGTGCAGTTGTATAGAACAGTACAAAATATTTCCTCCATTCCTTTAGCCTTCCAATATGCTGCCCCTTGCCCCGGATGCTTCCCATCACTGCCCTCCCTCCTTTTCTTAAACCTCCAAGGAATGAGTCAGTGCAGCGTAGGACCACAAGGTTGAGGGACTGAGGGAACTGGGTCTCTTCAGCCTGGAGAAGAGGAGACTCAGAAGGGATCTCTTGGCGACATACAGGTATGGGAGGGGATGTCACACGAGGGTGGGCAGAGACCTGTTCTTCCCTGCAGAGGAAGGCAGGACATGCTCCAACGGAGCAAAGC